AAAAGGTGTTTGTGTTCTTTTACCTGTTGGCGGGATCTTGTTGGAGACGTGTTCCCATGATAGTTTCCAGGGATGGGGAGGTCATCCACGCTGGCCTGAGGCTTTAGACACTGGAAATTAAACGCAGGCTTCCGACCTAAAACAATAAACAGGAAGCTTGTTGTCATTACAGACATTTTGAGATTTTACACTCTCTTGGGGTCAGAGGGAGAAATTGGGTTTTACTTTGTATTTTCGGAACTTTGGTCTGACTAACAACATTATAAAATTAGACACCAGTGGAGATATTTAGTATGGCTAGTTAAGGTTCACAAATGGTTGTCTTCATTTAACCCTTATCCATCACTTCGGTTGAAAGTAAGGCTAGGTTAGCCAACATGTAATTACACTTAAATAGTTTCTATGTATTAAATCTATTTAACATGGACTTGTCTAGTAGGAAATTTATTTTTTTCCAATTTTAACACAAGATTCCAGTTACCTTTATTCTAAATATGTTTTAATTTAATATCTGTCTAAGAGTAAATAATTTCTGAGATGGAAAAATAAAACATATTGAACTTTGACTCAACAAATTATTTATATGCAGGAGAATTAGCAGCACATCCAAATAAGTTGATACTATTTTCTGATGACTGGCTTAATGGTTCATTCCATTCACCTGTCTAGCTTTGCCCAGTTTCTCATCACTTTTCATTTGTATCACCTGCTCTAGTCTCTATTTAAACTGCCTGCTCGCAGTCATCAGTGCCAGATTATTTTAAGCTTTTGGTCAGAGTTCTCTTGCGTACCTTTTAGTGTTTTTAATTGCCTGATCCTGACCAGGTTCTGCCTCCCGACCTCTGAGCTTGCCTGTTCCTGTTTGCCTGACCTGTCTTCGGACTCTTGCTGGTTTCTGCCTGTGGACTGAACCTGGATCTGCCTCCTGACTTCAACTTGGATTTCCCCTTTGTGCCCCTTCAGATCTCTGATCTTCTGGCCTGGACTCCTATGAACTTCTTCGACACTGGCTTTGGCTGCCGGTAACTCCTGTCTTCCTTTGTCTGCTTGGATCTGCCTGTCAGCCAGTTCAGCAATCTTCAAGGCTTCGGCTCCTTGCGCTTTCTGGGCGGCATTCGCCACGTGCTGCTGGTAGCCATCCAGCTGGATTCTGCTTCTTCTTCTGGGCACGGAATGAACTCTAAGACCAGGTTAGTGACTCACGCACTAGTTATCATCCTCTGTCAGATTTATGTTATCACTAACCTGACTTTTCCCTCTACAGAGATTCCGGACTTTGACGCCCTAGCTGCTGAATAACAGATCTGACGTTTATTAATAGACACTTTTGAGAATTACGCCTGTCTGTTTGCTTCGAATCCTGGATCGTCTGTTCTGAACCCTGACATTTAGAGCAAAAAAAATGTACCAATGCTAGCCTAAACATTTCTAACCTTTCGGTATCGCAGGAAGCAGTCGTCTCCGGACAAACTGGCCTCCGTTGTTCTCGCCTCCATTGTAGCCATTCCCATTGTAGCCATTTCCACGGTAATCACCATTCCCGTTGTAACCGTTCCCGTTGTAACTGCTGTTCCCATTGTAAGCGCTGACGGTGCTGCCGTTCTCGTTATAGCCTGTGTATCCGTCACTGTGATATCCATTTGTGTCATAGGGAGTGGGGCTAACGGCGGTACTCCCTCCGTTCATGTTGTTTTCATTGTAATTGTTGCTAATGAAGCCATTGGGGTCATTGGCTCCATAGGGTATTTCTCCTATGCTGCTTGCTCTGTCCAAACCATGACCATTGGCTCCTGTCTCTGTTGGTACAGGAGAAACCCCCTCTGGGTACTCATACCTGCAACAATGAGGAGGTAAAAGGGGAAATATGCTTTGCAGGTTAGATGGAATGCTTTAAATATATATATTTTTCTATATTAACAACCTTAAATCTCAATTTCTTACCCATCTACTGATGCAAAACTTGAAGCATATGCTTCACTGCCGTAAAACTGTTCAGCTGCTACCCCTTGACCTGGATCGAGCGCATCATTGAGGAGAAAGTCTTCCCCTGTTATCTCAGGTGGAGGAGGAGGAAGAGGCGACTCGCTGACGGAGAACAAAGAACTAAGTCAGATAACAAACCAGGTTGTCCTTTTGTGATTCAATTAGCAGTGTGCGGCTGTTACACAGTACCTGATGGGAAGGGGCTCAGACCTTCCAGGCTGCTCAGTAACAACTCTGAGACCTGCAAGTTCTGATCCTGGTCTGAGGTGCTGCTGCAAGGCCTCCACCTGTTTGGTGATCACATCTCCGTTGCTGACTTTGGGCGTGTGTTCGATAATCACTGCCGTCTGCTCCACCAGCATGTCCAGGGGGGGCATTGGAGTGCTAGCAGGTGTGGGGTTTGCAGAGGTCCCACGCTCACTGTCAAACATCTCGTCACCCGTCATCTCTCCCTCCGTTGCCTCTTCGTCCTCGAGGTCACAAGCGATCGCCAGACGCATCTCTGGAGCCAAGTCCTGCAGCGTCCGCAGCCCTTGCTAAAAGGCAAAATGATTTCAACTCATTATAGTGTCAGAATGGTCTCTAGAAATCTAGAAATAGATTTATACTTTAAGGTTTTTCGACATAGCTAAAGCATCCATGGAGATACTTCACACATCATTTCATAACTTCTAGTGGTTCTATGCAAAAGGTTGTGCAATCTGGGTAATTCTGAGACCATAATAAATTAAAACACAACTTCCACCCTTATTTTGTAAAAGATTTAACTCAATCTAATTCAGTTTATATATATATATATATATATAT